TCCCTACAGCCATGCCATGTTGCTTAACTAATTATAATTTCAAATTGTTTAACTTTTGACGCATGTGAAGTTGTTCAAGCGAAAGAGGCATACCAAGTAGTTGTATTCCGATATCTGCTTTAACGTCCCTCTTTTCCGGCGGAAGGGTTCTGGGTATGTGCTTGATGTTCACTGCAAAATAATAATTAAGTCCTAAAAAGTTGAGGGAACCAGTAACGCTTTCGGATTCTTGAACGGTGAAGGCCGGAATCTTTGAGCCTGCACTCTTCTTCATCAAAGGAAGGTAATCTCCAAACGTCAAGGGATGCAAAAACCTATGACAACATAATGTGGACTCAATAAGTAATCAATTCCCAAAAAAAAAAAAAAAAGAATTGGACAAGTAGACAACGACCCGTTGGAAAAACAAAAAAAAGAAAAAGGAGGGTAAATTTTGTAACTTACCAACCAATAAAAAACTCATTTGCTCTTTTAGTAGCAATTTCATCTTCCTTGCTGTCTGTTAGAGGGACAAATGCATGAGCAATGATAGTGATTCCCACAAATCCGTGCTGCTTGTCCTGCAGTGCCCAAATATTCCTCTCATGTGATCAATTTGTAAATTTGTAAATCCTCACGATCAGATTGAAACATCGTACATACTTGACGAAAAATGAGCAAGTAAATATTGGAATTTCTAGTTGACATGATGGTTCAGGAGATATTGACCAATTTATTCCCATGGTGCAAGAACTTGACGTGAAAAAGCTTAAAGATTACCTTGTAGTTTTTTTCATACAATCTATATGCTGATGCGTGTGACAACAAGATATGATGAGCTGCAATGTATGCCTCAGTTGTGGAGTCGCCTCTGGAGCAGTTGCCATATGGATACGAACATCGTCGAGGCGGTGTCACTCCCCAGTCATAACCTGACAATGAAAACGCATTTGCCTCACTTATAGTAGTCCAATGTTTGACTCTATCACCAAACTCTCTGAAGCACACATTTGCATATTCCGTGAAGTCTTTACTGCGTCAACATAAACGTTATTCAATCATGTCAATCGCCTGGTTTTCTACTTTCGGCGGTGAAATTTACCAGCATGATCTAAAAGAAACATACATAATCTTTCGACTAACCCATCCTCCATACTCATCTTCAAGTATCTCTGGGAGATCAAAATGGTGTAATGCAACATGTGGTTGGATGCCTGGTTGATGAAAAACATGCAAGTCTCAGAATTATATTTTCCTCATCACAAGGGGAATAAAAGGAGAAACTCATATATGATATATTGGTAGTGACCATGGCTTATTAATTCATTGATTAAGTTGTTGTAATATTGTAAGCCCTTTGGATTTATGGGTCCTCTTCCATCTGGGAAACAAAGAAGCATCAATGTGTTAGAAGGTGAAGCATAAATTGACTCGGTTTTTCGCTTTCTTAACAAAAGTTATTAGTTTGTGTGATCATACTTGGGATTAGTCTTGACCATGAAATGGTGAATCTATACGCATCTAAACCTGTCTCGGCCATGAGTTGGACATCTTCCTGCAAGTCAACAATTCGTAACTACAGAAAGAAAAAGGATAAAGATAATAACAATAACAATGATTAAAAAATTAGTCAAACATTCTGCAAAGGTAAACCTTGTATTTGTGATATCCATCACTTGCTCTGTCTCCGGTGGCTCCTTTGACGTACCCTGCAAATTTTACATTCATCTATAAACTTGTGTAGTGATGTCACATTCCTTAATATAAATGCGGTAGAGTTATATTTCACTATATCCTTTTTTTAACTGCCACAAAAATTAATCTTTAGTGGCATTTTTAATTACCTTTTACTGTATTTTAGACAATTTCACAAAGTTTACTTTTCTTTAAATGTAATTAACAAAATAGAATGTCGAAGAACAACTTTTTTGTAGTGCAAGTACGAGAGAGTTTGAGAAAGATGCGCCATAAACAATCTCTTTTAATTCTTCCGCTCAGTTTTTCTCTCTTACAGTTACATCCCTCCCAATTTGATTTTAAAAAAAATCCAAGAAAATAATGAAACAAATACTTATTATTATTCATTATGAAACAATCGAAGTAAGTATTATTGATAATGAAACAATCACAAGAAGTATTTAAATGGAAACACAAATCTTAAACAAAAAGTTCATTTTTTGTCTTTTTTTTGTTTTTCTTTTAAATTATAAGCGCTGCTGAAAATCCTTACAAAGAAAAAAAAAAAAAAAAAAGCAAGAAAAAAAGAGCTTCTGACAAAAAAGGGTTTAATTCCTGCAATAGTCCCGTAGGAAGCGCCAATTTTAGGCTAATGCGGATTCAGCAATGTATCTATGCTAATGGTGGTCAATGCTTTCTCGTTTCTGGTAGTGGAAATTTGGATACCTTATTTATTTATTTTGACTACAAGACACGTGATAACATTAACCATCATTAGTACACAAAGACATACATAATGACATGTCGTTGATATAGACATTCCTTTTTTTTTTTTTTCTTTTTTGAAAATGTTGATATTGATATTTACATTTAACATATTATAAATATCAATTAATCTAAGCATACATAAAAGAGCCAAATAAAATGCTCATTTCAACTTCTTTTTTTTTTCTTTTCATGTTTGTTTTTGTTTTTGTTTTTTTTTTTTTGTTTTTGTTTTTTTTACTTTTCTATTTCTTTTCACTTTTGCATTTTCTTTTTTTTTTCTTTTTTAAACATTTTTTTATCTTTCTTCATTTCTTTTGCTTATTATCTATTTTTGTTTTTTTCCCTAATATTCTTTGACCGTTCATTTTTTCTACAATATCCTTTTTGAAATACTCATTTTCTTTTAATTAAAATAATTCCTTTTAAATATTTCCTTACTTAAGTTTTTTTTTTTTTTTTTTAATTCTATACAACTTTAATTCTTTTTCTATATGATTTTTTGAATTTTTTTCCTCTTGCTCCAACTAATGGACTTAATTTCTAAAGAGGTCACGTGTTTTGATATTGGATCAAACTTACTAAGTTATTCTCTACGTGCATAGCACGTGGCTCAGCTGATATCAAACAAAAGAAAGAAAGGAGAACTAATTAATCATATTAATGCCCTAAAAAAATGTTATCATCCAACTCGGCTATTAGCAAATAATAAAGATTGTTCTATTTATATCCATATTTTTACTCTCCAGAGCGCCCTTTTAACTATACACACACATAATTTTACAATAATTATATTTTTATTTTACACAGCCCTATTATTCTAAACTTACTCCCAACTGATTTTAATAAGATTATCAATTCTTAACCACTTTATTTTTCTTTTCACATACACCATTTTATTTTAATTTGTTACTTTAATATTATCCTTTCTCTATGATATCTCTCTATTTTTTTGGGTAAACCTTTATGCATGAAAGGTATGTTCATTTTACAACTCAAGTTATAACTTGAGTTATGTAAGAGACAAACACTATAATAAAAAAATTAAATTTAAATTTTATAAAAGAAAATATTATAACAATAAAATTTGAGTTGTGAGTTAAGTTGTGAAATAAATAAGGCTGAAGCCTTTTTTTATACATATAGGATATAAATAATTTGGCAAGTAGAAGCCTTCAAAGCAAAGGGGAAAAAAAAGACAATGGCAAATAACGAGTTCATATGAGCACAGAAAAGAGAGAGAGATATGAAAATCAAGAGGCCAATGCCGAAGAGTGCCGATTCTAAGAATGTTGGACCCTCGAATGAGTTCGGATCTGAAAGTAACGTCGGAGTTGAAGAAGATGGAGTTTGTTATTCCATGAGAAAGAAGTTCAATCTTTCATGATTTTTTTAATGGGTTTTCTTTTTTGATGTTTTTTTTTTCTTGAATATGGTGTTTAGCTAGTGGTGGTATGCAATCTCCAACATCCAAGATTATTTACTCTTTAATGAGCTGATGTCCTAACAACCGTCAAATCATTATCTAACGGTTATTATTATGTGCCCTATAGGCGGGGGCAAGTACAACCCCTACCATAGATTCATGGATTTGTCCTAGGAACAACTAATTACCAGCATGAGTAAAGGTGTCCCATATGCTTGGAGTCCTTCCATCTTCGTTTGCAGCACCCTCCGTCTGCTCAATAAAAAAAAACAAACAAAAAACAAAAAAACAAAAAACAAAAAACAAAAAACAAAACAAAACAAAACACAAAAAATCACCACAAACTTCCTCAAAATCCCAAAACCCAATGAATTCATTAATATTATTATTTTTCTACTGTCAGAAATTGTTACCAGTAAAAGTCAAATGTTGATCAAACGGACCTGATAAGCTGAAGAAGAAGCACCAAACGAAAACCCAGAAGGGAAATCATCTCTGCTAAAATTTCCACAAACAACAACTCCAACTAATCCCAAGCTCATAAGAGCAAAGAGTGAGAAAGAGAAACCCGACATCTTTAATCTAACTTCACTAATCCTAATCCTATTTCTGTTTCTATTTATAGAGAAGCAGATGAGATCTTGGTTCCACACTAGTTGGCTTTTTTTGGCTTTTGCTTTTCTATAAAGTATTGTTTGTACAAATTGGTAAAGTATTTCTCTATTTCTTTCTTTTTATTTTATCATATTTTTCACAATTTAAATTCAACATTCCACGTTGACAATCCCAAAGTTAGGCTCAAGCTCAAAGTAGCTCTTGCTTTAGTTCTAGCTTTAATCTTTTAATGCTCGTTAAAGTAACCTGGAGCAACATAATATTGTCAGTCCTAAAGGCGCCTTCTAACTCCTTGAGCAATTGTGATAAGATTGTTAGCTCCATACAACGCTTGCAACAACGCGAGCTAATGGCGAGCCAGTGCCGGCTCTATGCCTAGGCAAGTTAAGCAACTGCCTAAGGCCCCATTTAAATTGAGGCCTCCAATTAATTAAAACTCCTCCATGATTATACCTATATAAAAAATTTATTTTACATTAAAACTGAATAAAAGTAACTGCATTTTTTGGAACCATTTTTTAGAGATCGTGTACTTGGAATCTGAAAATTACATGCACATAATTAGCCTTTTTGTAGGGGAGATTAATAGTCAATATTTTTTTTTTAATATGAATTAACGATTTCCATTAATTTCTTTTAAAAAACGATTTCTATCAATTTCAAATAGCAACAAGCCAACAATATCTTCAAAACTCAGAAGCACATAAGGGATTATTTTCCTTTTAGACACAACAACTTTTTTTTTTTTTTTTTTTAAGAAAAGAATACGTCAACTGCTTTAGTTGATAACCAACTAATCACCTTTTTCTTTACTAAGTCTCAAAAAAGACTCCAATATTTACTTATGAACATATCTATGTATAAGCATGTGTGTGTGTCTCCATTTTACACATTGGAAAAAAAAAAAAACTTACTATTTTCTTGCTAATTTATTGAATATTATTTGTATGAGTATAAGAATAGTTATTTTATTTCTTATTATTTTTCGGTTTTACCGGTAATTATTTAAATTTTAGTTTAAAAATAAGTTTTTAACCAATGCATCTGGAAAAAGTATAATTTAGTTAATAATTTTACATCTCAAAAGGCAAAAAAGTATATTTTAAGCAAATTTAATTGCTTTTTAACTCCTTAAAAAAAAAAAAAAAGCTTTTTTTTACATACTTTAGTAAGTTTTTTTTTTTTTTTTTTTTAAAGAAAAAATGGATAATTTGCTTTGAGAGTACATGAGTCTAAACCTTTACTCTTGACTCTTAATAAATACATTTTTATTAATGTAATTATTTAAATAAAAAATTATGAATTAAGAATAAAGAATAAAAATGGGTATTAATTAGAGCTGAAAATTCGGGCCGCCAGGCCTGGCAGCTCGAAAGGTAGTTAGGGCCGGCCCGGCCCGGCCCATAGTTTTAATCGGGCCGGGCATTTTTATTAATGTAATTATTTAAATAAAAAATTATGAATTAAGAATAAAGAATAAAAATGGGTATTAATTAGAGCTGAAAATTCGGGCCGCCAGGCCTGGCAGCTCGAAAGGTAGTTAGGGCCGGCCCGGCCCGGCCCATAGTTTTAATCGGGCCGGGCC